ATAGTATAAACAAATTTTCTATGGAAAATGAGATAATATAGTAGCCATTGTTCATTCTCTGTTATTTGGTTCTGAATGCCCTGTAATACTTTCATTCTCTTGAATGGTTTTATACTATTTTCTTATGTTTGATACTACTGTATGTGAAGTTATGCTCAACTATTTCAAAGAGACATTATGGTAGTTACTGTTAATTACAGGTTGTCTTGTGGTGAAATACTGTGTTGCTTACATTGTTCTGTTCTGATCTGCTTTGTTATGTCCTGTTTTGTCTTAATCTCTTTAAAATAAAACAAAAAGAGGGGTTTTGTTATTTGTATACACTAACCATGTTTTATATTTTAAATGTGGTCCAAGATAATTCCTCTTCACTTCAAAAAAAGCAAAGCAAAGCAGGAAAATGACAAAGGGCAGGTTGGAAATGCCTGCAAGTAGCATGAGGCCTCCTTTAAAGGTCAATCAATGACTTGCCCTATATGAACCCACATCTGTTGAACTGAATGGGGCGGGGGATGGTCACTTGTCTAACAAGTTCTACATAGGCTTTTCTAGTCTTAAGTTTTGACTTCTATTGCTCTCATCTTCTGACATTTATTGCTCTTATCTTTTGCAGTTCTAAATGTCTGGTTTTGTGAGTTTCTTAAGAATGCTTTAGACTTCTAAACTATAATTAAGTGGATATTCACTAGTTTCAAGTAAAGTGATAAGCAACATGACTGAGCCATACAATTTGATAACTTTAGGAAGAGGAAAACAATGTTGGTTACATAGTTTGTGGCAAAGGTAGATTTGTACACCACATTAAGAAACATTCTGATAATCTAAATATTTTGTTTTATCTAGCCTTTTCTTCTGGTAAATGATAAAAATGTTTCTAAGTAGCCAACACAAATTGCAATGTTAACTGGCCTGATTTCATCTGTTTTCCCTTTCCTTGTCTACTCTGTATTGGTGTCATGTTAGAAAACTGTGAAAAGGATCCACATAACTCATAAACTGAGTGATGAGTCCTTGCATACCAAGGGAACACATCTATTGCCAGGAACATGGAACTAATAACTGGTGTAATTTAGTCTATGATGCAGCTACATACAGACGCAATCTCTCACTTAGCCAGTAGGTGGAGTCACACACAAGTGTATTGGCCTTGCTCTTTGATCCACATGATTAATCTTGTGGTAACTGAGGTTTTGGTATTGTTGGTTTGGGAGTAAGAGATCAAGGATGCAAAAAACTGGGAAAGGACAATTATTGAGGTGAGTTTATAAAACAACAACACAAAAGAATTTTCACATTTTGATTTTGTTTCTGGCCCTTTTGAGAAAGCAATGTTATTTTAAATATGAATTTATAAAACCTACTTCCAGACCCCTAGTGTTAATAACAGTTCTAAATTTAGAAATATGTCACTTAAAATTCATGTTCAATAAGGGAAAACTGAACATCAACTGAGTATGACACAATATTAAGAAGCTGTTGATTTTGTTAGGCATAACAGTATTATGGTCATTTTTAGGTCCTTATCTGTTAGAAATACAAACAGGTGTATTTATATGTGAAATGATATTGCTTTAGAAATCTCTAGGAAGGGCAAGAGCAAAGAACAGTTTAAATACGAATGTTAAATGTTTTGATAACTGTTGAAGCTCAAGTGCCTAGTATACTGGCATTCATATTCTATTCTCTTTTCATTAAAAATTTTACAAAATCTATGGCTAAAAACTGAATATAAGTCATGTTCCAGTGAGTATTATTATTATTATTTTGCCGTGCTGGGGTTTGAACCCAGAGCTTTTTCACTGAGCTATATCACTAGACCTCTTGAGTTTTCATTTTGAGACATGGTCTTGCCAAGAGATGTTGAGTTATATGGGCTAGGCTTGAACTTGTCCTGCCTTAGACTCCCAGAGTGCTGGGATTACAGGACTGTACCACCATGCCTGGCTTCTAGGGAACTGGGTTAACATTAGAGTTAGGTCATTGGTATTTACATATCCAACTGTACTGAGGTCTCATTTCTTATTTTTATTAGTACATGTTTGCAATACAATATGATTATATTTATCAGGGGATGTTATTTCAATATATGGCTGTTGAATTATTTTAATCAATTGGATCATACAAAGCTAGCTATAAAAAGTACTGTATAGATGGCCTCAACATTGAAGTACTAAAACCTAGAATTTATGACACCAAAAAACATCTTGTCTTTACTATACTTTCATTTGGGGTTCTTTAGAACAAATAGCAAATCTGGCATAATTTTGGTGAATTTAAAAATTCTGCTTTCTGTTCTCATTACTTCATAGTATATTATTAAATCTTCTTTTAGTTTTGAGAATAAAAATATGAACAGAAACAGATTTATTGAATAGAAAATAAAAACTAAACCAGAAAAGTCATTTTGAAAGAATTATACTACCTTAAATTGGGAGAGACATCAGAAGTTGTCTCTAGTCCCAAAGCTAAACTTTATCTTCTGCCCACTTGGATGTTCCAGTTCTATGCAAAGCCTCTTCAGTGAGAAACTGCAGTCTGTGTGATAGCTTGGTTTATTCATGGAGTAAGTCTTACCATGAGAGTCTTTCCTTACTTAAGGGTGAAACCTGCCACTTGTTGATTCTAATTATGGCCTGCAATGCTACACTGAATGAGCATATAATTTCATATGTCATAAGCTTTCAAATAACTGAAGACATTGATTATTTTTTACCTTTGGCATTCTGCTCTGGGGACTCTCAGAAGAATAAGGAAACCAATACATTAATGAATAGTAAAACTTATAGGTTCTTCAAGAACTTTTCTGAGCCAGGTGTCTTCAATTAGAAGTTCATATATGTCTGGAGTATTCAAGTCTTTCCAGGGGATACATTTTAAGGCAATGATTTTCCATATATTCATTTGCCATAATGTGGTCTATCTGAAAACAATTCTGTGGTCTGCTGTTTTTCCTTTCACATCTCCAATCAGCCAACTGAATTGCTCTCCTATCCTGAAATGCTTCAAGAGTCAGCTAGGGAATGCACAGCCCCTAAGGGAGGAAAACATCTCTGGGAGCAAAGCAAAGAGACTTTAAGAAAGAAAGAGGTGTCACCTTATTTCATACAGACAACATGTTCATGGAAAAGCCTGATGTATTTTAGAATTTGAATTCAATAGTGAAGAGTTTCACCGGGATGCCTATTATGACTTTAATTTTATTTGAAAAATGAAGTGAGACGTTTTCCTGACACAAAGGGATTCTGACTTGGTTAAGTGACAATGAAGACTACTCTGCCATATAGGTCACATAAGAGACATTTCTCACCAAGTGAATAAGATAAATGTGCAGCTCTGTAGTTGTGAACAAAATATATTTAAGAGAATATTCAATACACTGAAAATGATATTCTAACAATAAAAGTTTTTATATATTAACTTAAAAAGATATGAGACAGGCATCTAAGTTTAAAAAAAATTTAGCAGGTTTCCTATCAAAGACTTTGAAGGCTGTGACTCTGTGACACAATTTTCAGGCTTTTTCATTCTGGTTATTCTGCTGTTCAGTTTACCATGAACACTCCAGAGATGAGAAGCAGACACAGTGTGGTGGAAGTCTGGTTTTGTTCTGAATACAGTATGAAATATTTCTAATTAATGTAGCCTAATATTCCACTTAAGGCTCACAAGCTGCTGTAAATGACTAAGACAGTTACATCTTTTTTTACACTGATCTTGCATGTACATATTGAAATGAAGGGTCTATATTAACTGGTCTTAAATTTCATCTTTGTTTTAGCTCCTTGACTATGAACTTGTAAGCTATTTTTGAATTGTGATATTGATAGCCAATTAGCTAACCATGTGTGGAGGTTGTAAAATGCCTGCTAGAGACCTCCACCTCTGATATTCAGGCCCTGATGTGTGGGCTGGGTCTACTATTCATTTATAACAGAATATGATCAAAGGGATGGTGTGCAGTTTCACAGATTAGGTTATAAAAGTGTGACATCCCCTATCCCCATGAAGCCAGTGGCTGTACTGCTCTACTGTTCTATGGAGAGGCCCAAGTAACAAGAAACCAAAGGACGTCTCAGGGCAACAGATCTTAAGGAACTGAAGCCCTCAGTCCAATAGCCTGAGAGGAACTGAACACTGCCCCCAACCATGTGAGTAATCTTGAAAGCAGATCTACTCCACTTCCTTAAAATGACTTGCCCTGGCCACTACCTTGCTTACCACCTTTTGAGACTCCCATTGCCAGAGGACTGGGCTGAGCTGAGCCCATATTCCTGATGCACAGAGTGATACAATATATTTGCATTATTTAAGCCACTAAGTTTTGGGATAATTTATTAAGAAGCAACAGATAATGAATATGCTTTTCAGTCCTGTTAACTTTTGAATATCTAGCAAATATATACCCTATTTTTTCTTCCTAATCAAAGTCACTGAATAATTTTGAGCAGAATAGAATCAAATAAAAAGAAAACTTGTAGGATGCTGCCCATAAAACTTTATACAAACATCCTACTGACTATGGACTACTTAGTTGTACTATCCTTATCTCATATTTATCTTATAAAATTTCTGTGAAAAATATGTCAAGCGGCTTGCTGAAATGAAGCTACACTGTTAGCTAGAGAATTTTCCTCATGTGCAACACAGTGATCGTATCAACAGGGGAAGTTACACGGTTATTGCTGTTGTCAGTCTTGCTATGTAGATGCCTCTGCTCTCACTGCACTCCTATTCACTAGACTCCTCTGGTCAGAATTGCATATCTTGGGGCTTCCTATCCCTCAAAAATCTTTTTGCAGCCTCTTCTCAGAAGGTAATTGAGTATGCTCACCTTTTGCTTCATTATTATTGTGTACCTTAAGATAATATTTCTTCTTGTGACTTAAAGTCTTTCTAAACAGGTAAGTTCAAAACTCTTGTTAAATGTTAAAAGTGTTAGCATTATCTAATACCAACATTGCTTAAAGCTTTACTCCTTAAGAAATGAAGTACACACTCACAATTCAAAAACCATGTAAAGCATTCCATCTGAGCTATATGTCTCCAATAACTCTACAATGTGTGGATGTTTCAGCATATGACAGATACTGGCTTCCCGCTTTAGATCTGCAAAACAAACATATAACATACTTCATTAGGTAGGAACAAAAGACAATTAGAGTGAATGATGAATGAATGGATGTGATCTATGGTAACATGAAGACTTCTCTAACTAAAGAGATGAAATCCCCCATTTAAACTAAGCTTAACTTCCTACCCTTTGAAATCTTTGACAATATAACTTTGATATTTTTGGCAGCTTACATCTATAAACGAGTCACCTCTTATTGGCACAAAAATTTTACACATTTTTTGTAATATCTATTGTAAAAAAGGAAGGGAAGTACTCTAAAGGATATAACTGCATGTATTTTAAGTGTGTAAAACAGATAACTTTATTACTAAGTTTTTGTTGGATCACTGAACAGAATGGTTTTCACTCTCATTGTTTAATTGTCCACTTTTTATGCTTTAATTTTGTGGCTTTGAAAAACTATTCCTAAGATGACAATATGTAATTTATCAACTAGTAATTTCTTTGTGTTAATTTTTTTCGGAAATTCTGTACTATTTCTACCCTTTTTCTGTATTGCTTCTTTCCTTTAAATAAAATTTTTTTACACGTTTTATTAAAAACTTTGCCCTGAAGTAAAATACTCAAACTCTTATAATCAAGTTTCAGCCTCCAAATTTATAACTCTTTTTGATCTGTTAATTAGTAATTCAATGTACTGTCATGAATCTTACTTGTTTTTAACTTTTCCTGTCAGATAAGAACGTATTGTATATTCTTGAGACAAAAATCCTGCATTTCCAGATATATCAAGTAAATTATACAGAATAGGAAGCAAAAAATAGAATGGTTTAAAAGGAAAAGGTACTCTTTTTACAGTCAAAGTCAGATTACCTGGGGGCAGGGGCTGCTGGAAATGAAACTCAGGACCTTGGACATGCTAGACAATTGATGTATTGCTGAGCTATACCCACAGCTCTGAACTTTACAGTATCTGTAAAATGAGTTGGATAATTCAGAATTCTATCCACCTCATGGTATTATTATGAAGAAGTAATCAGATAATATAGCTTAAACTGCTCTGTCAGCTCTACAATTCTATTTGAAAAATAAAAGGAATATTATCACCATCATCACATAAGACAGTTTGGGCAAGGGGATCACTTGCCATGTTTACATGGAATAAGATAATGAAGGCCTTTCAGTGCTAAAGTGCTGGAGTTTTATCTATCTGCTGATGAATAAAGTCTAATGTGATATTTCTATATTTGAAAGTAGAAGGGAGATATGTAAGGAAGAACCAAGACTAATAATGCATTGCACAAGGCAAAGTAGATAACACAGTTTGCTTCCTGATTTATTAATTCAACTAATCTTGTCAATAAGAGTAATTGATGCAGATAGAACCTTAGAAGGTTTACTTTTAAGGGTAGAATAAGAAAAATACAGTTGTAAATTAGATAAAAAAGAGAAAATGTCAGAAAAGAAGGAATTAATACTATAGTACTAAGAAAGTCAAGGGAATAGAGAAAATTAAGTTATATATAGTAGGAGAAAGTTGAAACCTAAGAAAAAGCCATCAGACTCAGTTAGAATAGGTTAAGAACATTCTGGGCTGGATCAAGTTCTGTGGAGAAGTCTGGGTCAAAGTCAGCATCTAGGAGTTAAATATCTAACAATAAATTATAATATATCATGTCTCTCAGTGGGGCAAATCCTTAATGTAGTCACTGTCACTTAATATGCTGACCGCCCCACCAAGTGGGAACATTTTGGATAAGGAAATTGAGGTTTAGAAGTATGTTCAAAATCATATAGCTATATAGTAGTGGGCAACTAAACTGATCTGTGTGACTCCAAAATTAGCAGTTTTTCCACCATGCCACACCATGGCTTTGGAATTGAGCCTATGTGAAAAGCCTAACAGTAGAACAGGAATGACAGGGTCAAAGATGTTATTTGTCTGTTTCCCCTGTAGCTGTAGCGTAAGCACTCTGATGAATGTTATTGGGGGGGGGAGGGTCTTTAAAAGCACATGAGATATGGAGCCAGAAAAATTGGTGCTGGCCCTGCTTTTCCCTTTGCCTTTTGTAGGCTGACTGTTCACTTCTTCAATTAGCATCTTTACAGACAATGAAATGGGGACAAAGCTAGGTGTTATAGTACTGAAAGTCTCTTAATTGGCTTCAAAGGGTAGTGGTAAGATTCAAATGAGAAGTCAGATGTGAGAGGACTATGTGGAGCACAATACTTGGAAAAGGGGTTTGAGGGGCCGCAGTGTGAGCTGCATACTGTTTTCATTGCAGAGGAAGATATCAGAGGCATAGGAAAAATGCTGCTATGTCTGAAAGCAGTTGGGAAGGCCCTGCAGGGGAGAAGAGTATAAAGTAGCTGTGGGGTTTGTACAGAGAAGTCATAACCATGCGAAGGTTTTTAACAAGTGTACTGGAGGGCGAGGCTGAGCCAGACAACATCAATCAGATAGATGCCTGCAGAATTTCTTCAAGAATGTTCTGCCTCCTGATTTTATGAAAACTTAGGAGTTTTATTACTCATTTTTACACTTATCTCTAGTTCCTTATTTTATTAGAAGCCATCCTTTCTTATTTTCTGTTTTCACTTTAGTTACTCTTTCTATTTGTCTCTGTCTGCTTGAAAGTGATTTTAACTCAATGCTCTGCCATTGTAGTCATGAAATAAACAGATTTAGTGATTGCTACAGTGAAAACTGATTTCCTTTTCTTTCTAGTTGATTTGCTATATTGCTCCTTACATGGAAGTACAGTGTGTTTCAATTACCACACATTTGCCATATGGCATGTTTGTTACACTGAAAGCTTATAAGAAGAAAGGGGTGCTCTAAAGACCCTTCCACTTGAGCCACACATTTCACTTTGGTAAACAGCTGAACAAATTCTTGGTCATCTTTTTTTAAATATAAATTACATGCTAGATGATATTACCAAATTAATGTTAATTTTCTTAGATAATGATAATGGCATTTTGGCAGTGAAGGAGACTGTTCTTGGTCTAGTCCTATCACCTACCCACTCTCTTGTCAAGGCAAACTTGCTTATGGTCCCACATTCCAATACTAAAGTGATTTAAATCTCACTGGATCTGAGATTTCAGAGATTAAAATCAGAACACTGACTGGACAGCACCAAACAAGATTAAAAATATACTTGAAATAATATGACACAAAAGATGGCTTAGATGTAAGATCACTGTATTACTGTTTACTGTAATTCAATTATTAAATAACTCATGCAAAAAAGCAAAGTTATAAAAAAGACAAATACATCACGCATACATTCTGCTTACAGATTCCAAAAATGTTAAACTAAAAGTAATTTTTTGAAATATGAATTATATATATTTTGAGCACTACATAGCATGCTGATATAGTAAGCTGAAGCTAGTATTTGCTACAAATCAACTCATGATGTAAAGTAAGAAGGTATCTGAAGTAGATGTTAATAATTCGATGTTAAATTGTGATTATCTGATGGCTTACAGATGTTAGCACAGGACATACCTATAAGTGACATGGCCCACAATGACCATCTCCGTTTAAGCGGTACTTTGTTTACCCATTAGGAACTGGCAGGCCTCTCTACTTTGCTTGATATTTTATAATGTCTCAGGGAAATTTTACAACATTTTAAAATCATTTCTATATTTAGAGGTATGTGTCTATATTTACTTGATTCATTTCCCTTTAAAAGTGGCACTAGTATGCTGGGACTGGGAGGAACCAACCAAGAAGCCAACTAGCTAGCCTTTCTGGTAAGCCATGCAAACCGTGTGGGTTCCAGGAAAAGTTAGCGCCTCCCATGAGCTTACCAGTGTGGGCTGAGAATCAACCCCACCCCACCCCGCCCTGCAAGCTTGCTGTTATCCTGCTGGTTCGGAGGACAGTTGATAGCAAGGTGAAAAAAGCAAGTAAATGCTTGTATTATTTGGTTGATTTTGCAGTCCTGGGGCCTGTAGTCTGATCATGTATTAGGAGTATAAAAATATGCAATATTGCAAATATGGGAGATTTTTTTCTATCTTGCCTTTGAAATCCAATATTGTTCTCACTGTTTTGCTTTGTTCTGATTAACTGTTTTGCTTTATTTAATATTCTGTTTTGACTGGTTTTATTGTATTTGTTTTTGGTTTGATTTTGCTACACCTGGTGGAATGGACAACAATTGTGAAGATAACAAGATATACTATGGTAGATGTACTATTGTTTTCTTAGCATCCTGCTTTGAAGTTCTGTATCAATTTTGTTGCTTTGTTTTGAATGGCTTTGTTCTGTTTTGTTTTGTTGGATCTTATTATCTTTAAAATAAAAAAGTGGCACTAGTGATATGGAAAGTAATATTTCATTTTCTATCTCAAATCAGAAACATTTAAATCAAATCAATCTGCTATACAGTAATAAAACCACTAATTTCTAAGAAGTCTGGGCTAACAATTATAAAGCAAATATGCTTCCAGGGATTGCCTGTCAGACTGTTTCTCAAGTAAGTGAGAGTTAAAGATTTCAGAGTGTTAATTTTAAAAATAATTTTCCTGTAGTATTTTTATTATTTACTTTACTAGTATTTGTTTTTGTTATATCAGCACTCTTCATATTAGCTTTTGAAAACTGAATATTACTTAGAGCGTGTCATAATTCTGCAGCAAGCTTATTTGACCATGGATCAAAATCAATTTGGATATTTATAAATCTGATTGAAGGGAGGAAAAATTTTTGGCATTGGGGTATATTGCTACCCCAATGCCAAGAATCAACCTCAATATCTGATCTTATGAGACCTAAATTTAAGAGTCATTTTACCATGAACCATTCAATGAGGACTTAGATCAGCACCATCAAGTAGAAATATGATACAAGCCACATGAATAATTTAACCGTTTTCAGTACCACATTAAAAAAGTAAAACGAACAAGTGAGTTTTCATTTTTTAACACATTTCATCCAATCCAACATATATAAAGTATTATTATTACAACATATATTTTAAAGTTATTAGAAATGTTATTTTTTGTACTCTTT